CTCTGACCAGTGCCTCATAGAGAAGCATCCCATACCTGGCACTGAGATTTTCATTTAATATACATGTCTTGTGGGGGGAGCACGTTCCATGCAAGCAGAGTAGCGGCATTCTAACTCCTTTTTTAATTAGATTTTTAATTAGTTCACAACATAGTGGGTTTCTATAAGGCTTTTTCTTTTTGAAGTTCATTTTAGGATCCTGCTCCTGGATCATTTTTTCCCCAGATTTCTCCTCCTATGTATTCTCTCTGCCTGCTAGCCCCACCTGTCCTTTCTCCTGCCTTGCTATTGGCTGTTGAGCTCTTTATTAGACCAGTCAGGTGTTTTAGACAGGCAAAGTAACACAGCTTCACAGAGTTAAACAAATGCAACATAAAAGAATGCAACACATCTTTGCATCACTAAACAAATATTCCACAGCATAAACAAATGTAACACATCTTTAATTTTCTATAGCAGTTGATGATCTATCAGGAAAGGGGGTCACTAAACCCTCTCCTGGGATTCCAGCCACTCCTGGCTCTGCCCTGCTGCCCCAGCCATATGGAATTCTGGGCTGGTATATGGAGAGGACTCCATCTATGCAGCTCCCAGGAGGCTGTCACCCAAGTTGGAGTGGGACTTTCTGAGAATGCAGCTATTTGAGGTAACTCACACTTTTTCAGAGTAACCCCTCACCCATGCTTCTAAGTAAGCCCAATGTCCTCACTGGCTCACCAAACTGGACTAGGGTGGAATCATCTCTGTGATCTGTTGTCAGCACCTTGTCTGGGAAGAGTCACACAGCACCCAGGTGTCCTGACAGAATGGACTGGCGAAAGAAGGCTGCTTATCTCCTGGTGGCCGAGAAATGGAGATGATGCCTCCACGAGATGGGCTCTGTGTTTTCCTCCTTTATCCTGCCCTACGGGATGCTGCCATGCACATTTGAGGCAGCTTTCCCCTCTCCTAGTGATCCCTCTGTAAATGTCCTCACAGACACACCCAGAAACTGCATTGTTTCAGTTCCTCCTCTCTCTGCTTCTACCTGCTGTCCAGAATGTGAACTCTGAATCCTGCTCCAGCTTCTATGCCTGTCTGCTGCCTCCACCTTGCCATCGTAAACTAGCCCCCTGGAATCATAAGCCCCAATGCACTCAAGCTGGCAATCTATTACTGTTTTAGTCACTGTTCTATTGCTGTGAAGAGACACCGTGACCATGGCAACACTTATAAAAGATAGCATTTCATTGAGGGCTTGTTTACAGTGTCAGAGGTTTAGTCCATTATCACCACAGTGAGGAACATGGCGGAGGCATGTCAGCACTCGTGGTGCTGGAGCAGTAACTGAGAGCTACACCCTGATCCACAAACTGAGAGAGAGAGACACACACACACAGAGACAGAGACAGAGACAGAGACAGAGACAGAGATGGGGGAGAAGGAGAGAGAGCCTGGCATGGGCTCTTGAAACCTCAAAGCCCACCTCCAGTGACACACTTCCTCCAACACCCACTCCAACATGGCCACACCTCCTAATTTCTCTAATACTTCTCAAGTAGTGCCACTCCCTGATGATTAATATATGAGTCTATATATAGTGTCTTAGTTAGGATTTCTATAGCTGTGAAGAGACACTATGACCACTGCAACTCTTACAAAGGAAAACATTTAATTGGTGCTGGCTTACAGGTTCAGAGGTATAGACCATTACTGTCATGGCAGAAAGCATGGCAGCATGCAGGCAGACATGGTGATGGAGAAGGAGCCAAGAGTTCCACATCTGAATCGGCAGGCAGTCGGAAGAGAAAGAGACACTGGGTCTGTCTTAAGCATTTGAAACCCCAAAGCCAACCCCCAATGATAGGCTTCCTCCAACAAGGCCACACCTCCTCCAACAAGGCCACACCTCCTAATCCCTGTCAAGTAGGTTACTCCCTATGAACCTGTGGGAGTCATTTTCATTCAAACCACCATATAGCACCACCTTTTTCTTTTTTTTTTTTTTGGTTTTTTGTTTGTTTGTTTGTTTGTTTGTTTGTTTCTTGAGTTCATTATTTTTTGTTCAACTTACTCTTGAACATGAGATTTGCCCTGGAGTGGCTGATATATCCAATGTCATTCCATTGGAGAAAACAGATGTTTCCTCTCCCAGCAGTTATAAATGACAATTATGCTTTTAATCTTTACCCTAGTGGCTAGGTTTATATTCATTCATTTGTTGACTTTTTAGAAAATAACAAAATTAAATATAATAAAATAAAATAAAAACTATCATATTGAAGTTGGAAAAGACAGACCAACAGAAGGAAAATAGCCCAAGAGAGAGCACGAGAATCAGAGACCCATTCATTAGGACACTCAAGAGTTCCATAAAAACACTGAACTGGAAGTCATAATATCTATAGAGAGAGGACCTGGTGAAGACCTGTGTGTGCCCTGTGCATGCTGCCTCAGTCTCTGTGAGTTCACATGAGCTTTTCTCATGTTGATCTTAGAGGGCCTTATTTTCTTGATGTCCTCCATCCTCTCTGGCTCTTACATTCTTTCATCTCCTCTTCTTCAGGGTTCCCTGAGCTCGAAAGAGAGGGATTGTTGAAGACGTCCCATCCATGACTGAGTGTTCCAAGGTCTCTCAATATCTGCATAATGTCTGTCTGTGGGTCTCTATATCTGTTCCCATCTCCTTCAGGAGAAAGCTTCTCTGATGATAGTTCAACAAGGCAATGATCTATGAGTATAACAATGTCATTAGGAGTCATTTTATCACTACATTTCTTTTTAGACCAGTATTATTTGTTTTTTCCCCTAGGTCCCTGGGCTATCTAGTCTTAGGTTCTTAAACACCTATGCAGTATCAGGTATGGATTCCATCTCATGGAGTGGGCCTTAAATCAGATCAGTTATTAATTGGTGTCTTAGTTGGGGTTTCTATTACTGCAATGAAACACCATGACCAAAAAGCAAGTTGGGGAGAAAAGGGATTATTTGTCTTATACTTCCATATCATTGTCCATCATTAAAGGAAGTTAGGACAGGAACTCAAACTCGTCAGGAACCTGGGGCAACTGCTGATGCAGAGGTCATGGAGAGGTGCTGCTTGCTCAGCCTGCTTTCTTGTAGAACCCAGGACCACCAGCCCAGGAATGGTACCACTCATAATGGGCTGGATCTTCCCCCATCTATCATCAATTAGGAAAATGCCTTACAACTGGATCTTTTTTGTTTGGTTGGTTGTTGTTTGTTTGTTTGTTTGTTTTGAGACAGGGTTTCTCTGTGTAGTTTTGGTGCCTGTCCTGGATCTCACTCTGTAGACCAGGCTGGCCTCGAAATCACAGAAATCCGCCTGGCTCTGCCTCCTGAGTGCTGGGATTAAAGGTGTGTGCCACCACTGCCTGGCCCTTACATCTGGATCTTATGAAGCATTTTTCTCAGTTGAGGTTCCTTTCTTTCAAATAACTCTGGCTTGTTTAAAATTGAAATAAGACTATCCAGCACTGTTGGTTATTCCCACAAACTTTGTGCCATCATTGCCCTTGCATATCTTGCAGGTGGTACATCATTGCTTGCTTTCAGGCAAGTTAAACTTCAACATGATGATTACAAAGTAGGAAGGCAGGTCATGTATTCAGTGATCGCAAAGTGTATTATTAACTTGGTTGTGAGGTCCAGAAAAAGCCAGTCTCTTTGAACGTAAGAGATGTTTGCATAAAATTGTATTGCTACAGAACAGAGGCAAAGAGGTGGCCCTTGGTGCATCAGAGAATAGAGGTGGCACCATCATCTCCTGATGTCCCTGTTAATAGATTGTTGTTTTCCTTAAATTCAGTAGCTGCCCCTTAAGCAACTGCTGTCCTAATCGGCAATTGCAACTCCACAGCTACCAGCAGCGGATTAGCTAGCCAGGCGGGAATTCTGTTCCCTCAGGGACCAGCTCTCTCATAACTGCTAAAGCAAACTTTATCTAGATCTCTATCCCTTTATAGAATTCAGGATTCAAAGGTTGAGGTAAAATTTTGCTTGCTCAGAGAGGCTGAATAGCAAGCAGCTAACCTTCTCTCCTAGCTCGTGTCTCCCCCAAAACAGCTTGTCTTCTGCTCCACTCCACTTAAGAACCCTAGCTACACACGGTTCCTCCCTACCACTTCCTGTCAGCCAGTTGCTGACTCAGCCTCCTGACCCCAGGTTTAATTTTATTTAATCAAACAAATGTAACACGTCTTTGCATCATTAAACAAATATTCCACAGCATACATGAATGTAACACATCTTAAATTAATACTCCACGACACCAGATAAAGTGACAAGGACTGAAACCACTCTGCCACCCCATCCACATGTAGAAATTATACTCTTTCATGTCAGACGGTATTCAGAATCAGGTCTTGGGAGGTGATCAGATTTCGAAGGCTCCACTTCAGAAATGTCATTTGTGCCTCATAAAATAGTCATGGAGAGCTTTGTTCACTCCTGCCCTAGAGAGACCCTAGAGAACTTACCATTTGTGATCTGGGAGCAGCTCTCCCCAGACACCAGTGGCCCTGGGGATCTGAGACTTACAAGACTTTACAGAAATCAATGTTACAGCAGCTCCCGTTGACCACGATAGCCATAGCAGTCTTCCATCCCCATTCTAATCCACATGAAGAACATCTCTGGGGGGTTCCTGCCTGGCATCATCCCCACGTTTGGGGGACTGAAGGAAAGTGATGAGGCCACAGAACATAGGCACAGAGGAGTAAACAGTGAGGAGCCAGGTCATTTAGGGGTTCCAAGTGAAAATAGGCACTGCTAGGAACTCGGTTCAGTGGGGCCCGCAGGTGAGACACCCCCTCCAGGGCCCCCATGCTCTGGGCAAAGCCCTCAGCTACTCTCGGGGACAGCAGAAATGGAAAATAAGAGTGAAAGGAACAGAGAAGTGCAGAGTAGAGAAGAGTATGAGAAGCTAAGAGCGCAGGAAGGGAGGGGTAGAGAGGGAGCTTGGACTCGGGTTCTGAGAAAGGGCTCACACTGCAGCTTACCCTAGTGTGTCCTAGACCGCCCTAGGTGTCCGCATATCACATATCTGGGCAGGAGATCCAGCTTCTTGTCCTTCGGGCCCTGAAGCAGGATATTGACCACACAGGCTATATTATATTATAGCTCCCCTCCCCCCCCCAAGGGAAATCGGTTTCTGAAGCAGACTGACTGGAAGGAATCAGACAGCTCGGATCTCTGTAAAAATATGTTCAGGCGAGCCTCCGGGAACCAAGCTAGAGCGCTGAGGTGGGGTGGGAAGAGGCACACACTACAAACATGCACTTGTGACCATGGTACCTGAGAAAGGTGGTAGAGGAGAATCAGGACGGAATGGAAAATATTGGTACTTTGGACCCTAAGGTCAGAGCTCACGGAATGAGGAGGAAAAGTCCCTGAGCAAACTGGCCAGAGCAGGGCCAAGACACACTGTGACCTGGCTAGGAACATAAGTGGGGCACCACCACAGGACTGTGAGGCGCGTCCCACTTGCTTTGCCCCCCGCGGAGCTGGAGTTGGAGAATCTTGTCAGCAGGATGTTCAAGCCACGGGAACAGGATGGGGTAGTTGTACAGCATCGAAGGGAGAAGTAGGGAGACCCGGGTGAGTCTTAGGAGCTCCGCGCAGGTCCCCGCGCTTTGGTCACTTAGCTCTCTTCCGCGGGGAGCGGGATCAGCTCCTCTGCTTCTCGCAGCCTTGTTGGAACCAGTTGCCTGGGAACCCCTTGCAGGCGCTGGCGGGACAACCCCGAGGAGCGCAAGCGGGGACGAGAGACCTGGACTGCTCCTTCCTGGAAACCAACTGTCCGTCTAGTCTGCAACGCGTCCAACCTATATACCTTGCTCCCACGTGGCTGAAGCTTTCGGACCGCGCAAGATATCGGCCAGGCTCAGGCTCGTTAACCCCGAGTCCTCTCAGACATCCCAGTACCCAAGAGATGCAGGAGAGCTGCCTAGCCTGTCCTCCGCCCACCCAGGGCGGGACAGAGGCGGAGCCAGTGCCAGCGGGCGCCCCCGACGGCGGGGGCGGGGCTAGGCGGACCGACCCCGCGACTGGATAAGAGCTTGAGGCTGAGACCGCCAGAGCTGTTAAGCAGGACTGAAGGCTTACAAGGACCTCAGAGCAGGAGGCAGGTAAGGACCAGGGTCGCTCCTTGAACATCCTTGGAGGTGGCGTCTCCATTACCCCTGACATACTCTGACCGTGGATGGCTAGGCGGTGGGGCGACAGGCAGGAACCCCACTCTGGCCCTAGACGGCCCTGCCGCAGTGTGAAATGCAGGAACCAGAGCCATCCAGGTTCTGGGTCCAAGTCGCCAACAGCCAGGGCTTTGGAGAGCAGCTCCTTCCACACAGAACTAAGGGGTGTGTTCTCAGCGCCTGTCCTCAGAGTGTAGGATTCCACAGAACCCAGGCTCAAGACCTTCTTCACAGGAGGTTGCTGTTACTTCCCAGAGAGCATAGCTGTCTTTGGCTGAGGCTGGGCATCCCGGATCCTCAGTGGTGGGTTGATGCCACTTGAGTGGCTGGGATCTGGAGGAAGCACACTCCTTGGGGTTATTTTCACAACATGCCAAAAGCTCCATCTCCTTTCTCCCTCCCTCTACCTTCTCTCTTGTCTTTTCTGTTAGCCAGGGCTGGACTCAGGTGTGGGGAAAGACAGGGAACCTTGGCTCATGAACCACCTGTTTCCTGATCCAGCTGGTGAAGAACGATGTCTTCCCAGGGGCCATTTTGCTCTCTGTGCCCAAACCTCGCCTCTGAGCCATGAGTTGAGGAGTGTAGGGTGTGGCAGACAGGTGCCCCGGTACCTGTGTGCCTGTAACAGAGCAGGGAGCAGAGCCTGGGACCAGGTCCTTTGCCATGCTCCTTGCCCTCTCACAACCAACCTACTCTGGCAGCCCTACCTGCTCCCTGGCAGCTGCAAATCCGTTAGCCCATTTTTGACACGTGTGAGGAATTTGCATTTGGGTTTGTCACCAGGGTAAAGAGGCCACAGAGAAGTGGTGCATAAAATAACTTCTGTCAGGAGTTTTTGTTTAGGGATGCAGAGGAAAGTCACCCCATTAGAGCAGCCACCCAGATGCCGGGCTTCCATCAGTGTGCTTGTCTGAGTTCAGTGGAAACAGGCTGTCACTGGATGTGAGTGCTGTTGCCTCCCTTATATGCCATGGCCCTGGTTCTGCAGAAGCATAGGAGAGGCGTTCTCTGGGAGTGCTGCGAGTGTAGCTCTGTAGTGTGGACTGATTCCTGGTGACCTCTGTCAGCTCAAAGACCTGTGAAGCCATGGTCATGGGCAGGGTGGTTTGTATATATGCTCCTTGGAGATACTGATGACCATTTGTTTTAAACTTTCAGTTACTGTAGCTGATTTTAGTTATATCCATTTTGCTTTTTATTGTATTACTAAGTATAAAGAAAGCTGCACACCCTCACAAAGACTGCAGTGAGTGGAATGCTATTGGCAAGGTGTAAAATTGCCCTCTGGGAATTCTGATAAGTCATGCAGGCAACACCTGGGATTGTTATTAGGAAGCAAATTAGAAACCACGCAAGCCTGCACTAATGGGAATGATGGCTTTGGTGGGAAAGGGAACCACGGCGGTGTGTAGGGGTGTGTCTATTTCTGGTCTCCCTAGCCAGTCTCTCCCATCTCTGTGAACATCCCCCAGCTATCCTTCATTCTGGCCATGGCATCTCAGGTGCTTGGATAACTTCAGGTCTCTGTGCTCAACCCAGGTACCCTGAAGACTTGGCTGCTGAATCTGTGTGTTGTTGTGTGTTTCTTTATGTTGACTGAAGGCCAAGAAGAAGGAAGCAGAGTTCCTTGGGTTCCAGTCTACTCATGAGTAAGAGCAAATGCTCCGTGGGACCAATGTCCTCTGTGGTGGCCCCGGCTAAAGAGCCCAATGCCCTGGGTCCCAGAGAGGTGGAGCTCATCCTGGTCAAAGAGCAGAATGGAGTGCAGCTGACCAACTCCACCCTCATCAATCCACCACAGACACCAGTGGAGGCTCAAGAGCGGGAGACCTGGAGCAAGAAAATTGATTTCCTGCTCTCAGTCATTGGCTTTGCTGTGGACCTGGCCAATGTCTGGCGGTTTCCCTACCTGTGCTACAAAAATGGTGGAGGTGAGTGTTGCCTGGTCTCCTGTGCCTGCTAAGGGTGGGGCCATGTGAGGGGGTTTGGGGAGTGCAGGGGAGGCTATAGAAGCCACGGTACAGTGGGGGCTGTGCTCGTAAGAAATGCTCACAGGGAAGGCTGAGGAGATAACTAAGTAAAGAGCTTCCTGTGTAAGCATGAAGACCTGAGTTTGATCTCCAGAATCCAAATAAAAAAGCAGGGCATGGCAGCAAACACCTGTAGTGCTAGTTAGCACTGGGCAGGTGGAGACAGGTAGAACCCTGAAGATTGATAGCTAACTAGTCTCAGTCTAGCCTACCCAGAGAGCACCAGGCCAATGACAGACACTGTCTTAAAAATCAAGGTGGGCAGCTCCTGAGGAATGACACCCAAGAAGGATGCCTAGCTTCACAGGTATATACAGGAGCATGCACACAACAGGAAATGCTGTCAGTGAGACAACCCTGTCCTCCTGTGGGGTGGTCAGGCTGCTTTACCACCAGCAACACTTTTCAGTCTTCCCAAGCTGGAGATCTCAGAGGAAATCCGACAGCCAAGGAGCGTGGAACCCAGAGAGCGGAAAGGAGAAGGGAGTGGTGGAGGGTTAGGGGCCTGACTTCTCTTTCCACTGGTATTTTCACTTCTGGAAGAAAATTCTAAAGGACCAAAAGAACGTGTTTTAAGACAACTTCAGCAGTGTTTATAGAGTTGTTGGACTTTGTAAAATTCAAAGTTAAACTTAGAAGGGCAGAAGATGATCCTGAACTGAAATATACCCATTTCTTCTACCTCCTCCCTCTTTCCCTCCCTCCCCCCTCTCTCTCTCTCTCTCTCCCTCCCTCCCTCTCTCTCTCTCTCCCTCCTTCTCTCTCTCTCTCTCCCTCCCTCCCTCCCCCCTCTCCCTCTGTCTCTCTCTCCCTCCCTCCCTCTCTCTCTCTCCCTCCCACCCCCTCTCTCCCCCTCCCCCCTCTCTCCCTCCCCCCTCCTTCCCCCTCTCTCCCCCCTCTCCCTCCCCCCCTCTCTCTCATATGTGTGTCTTCTTCCTTCCTTCTCCTCCTTTAAATACAGTTGTGGGAATTGAACCCAGAGCCTTTCGTATGCCATTTACACTCTACCACTGAGTCGCATCCACAGCCCTCTTCATTTTTTTTTTTTTTAGTTTGAGTCAGGACTTCACTGCTTCCTAGGCAGTTCTTGAACTCACTCTGTAGATCAGGCAGGCCTTGAACATATGGTCTTCCTGCCTTTAGCCATTGGAGTACCTGGGATTATGGTCAATGCCACCAAGCCTGGCTCATATAAGAAAGCCCACTTCTTAATCTCAGCGGTAGAGCCATAGCTATGCAGTGGAACTAAACAGACCAAGGTCACCAGAGAGATTCCAGTTGAGCCCAGAGGCCTCTATTTCCATGGCTTGGTCTTCCTGGCTGGCTGCAGGATATGAAGAATTGCTTTGGGAAGGAAGGGCTCAAGTAAAATCCATGAGCATAATTGCTCAATTATGTGCTCTTGAAGGTGAGAGGCCCAAGGCCTTTGCAGCTCCAGTAAGTAACTCAAAGACAGGTGAGAAGACTCCCACCCTCCTCATCAAGACCTGAGGAGAAGGCTGTGGCCAAGCTCTGCCTCACTGTCAGATTGAGGGGAGCAAGGGGACTCCAGGGGTGTGCAGCCTTTGTGGAGTAGAATGTGCAGTTTAAACAGATCAAGCCCTGCATTCTGGCTCCAGGAATCTCCTGGCAGCAGAAGTCTCCAGAGAAGCAGACTCTAAATGTCAGGATTAAGTCACAGATCCCAGGACCACAACTCTCAAGGGGCAAAAGTACAGCTGGGCCTGAAGAGTCCAGCAGTGCTCAGAATAATGCTGAGAAGTGGCTCCGGGCCTTGACTGCCTTGCTTCCGGCTGAGCTCAGGACTTAGGGTGGGTGGACAATCAGAGGCATTGGAGGGAACATGCCCAACAGGGACATAACAAGCAGCTGGCACAGGCAAGGAGGCCTGGTTTACCATCCATCCAGGATATCCCCTTGGGTCCTATGCAGGGAGCCTCCCACTCTAGACAGGAAGCTGGGTGACAAGATCATACTTAAAGGTACAACATCAAGGCTCACATGCAGATAATGAAAGCAACCCCTTTCTGTGGCCCCAAGCTGAAGCTGCTGTCCTGTGCACAGGTGCCTTCCTGGTGCCCTACCTGCTCTTCATGGTTATTGCCGGGATGCCCCTCTTCTACATGGAGCTGGCTCTTGGGCAGTTCAACAGAGAAGGAGCTGCTGGAGTCTGGAAGATCTGCCCTGTCCTGAAAGGTAATGTTCAGGGACATGGCTCCCCAGGAGGCATGGCCACGCCTCTGGGGCTTCAGAATAAGATGATGACATTATGTACAAGTTCTGCTTTCCTAAACTGTATGGACATATGCACATGCTCTTCTAATATGGGTCCTTCCTTAAAGACCATAATGACCAGGAATCTTCTAGAGCATTCTCTTGCTCCCAGACCAGGCTGCCCTACAGCTAAGTGGTGGTAAATTTGTCAGGGTATTAAAATGGTAAGATTTCAAAAAACCTATCTGTCATCTTTCCATCAGTCATCTACTTACTTCTCTATGGTCCATCCAGCAAGCACCTTTTTCATCTATCACCTGTCTATTCATTTATCAATCATCTATCTGTGTGACCATCATCTACCATCTATCTCCATTCATCCCTCATTTATCTATCTACTTATCATCTATACACGTATCTATCTGTTTGCCTATCAATAAT